TGCATGTTCGATAAAAAAGAGCTCGGGAGTTCGGTCGCGACAATTAACAAATAAATTGATGAAGCACCTTTGGTCCATGTGAATAAAGCATAGTCATGCTTGGAGTGCTTAAAGCCCGCATGCATGAGTGCATCGGTGAATTTTGCATACCACTGTCGAGATGCCTGCTTAAGTCCATATAGGGATTTACGAAGACAACATACCCGAGACTCCCCCTGTCGTCGTAAATCCTGTGGAAGTTCCATGTAGATTTCTTCGTCTAGATCACCATGAAGGAAAGCATTATGAACGTCCATTTGATGCAACTGCCAATTACGAAATGCAGCAATGGATAGAAAAGAACGCACAGTCACCTCTTTGGCAACGGGGGAAAATGTTTCATGATAGTCAAAACTTTCCCGTTGTGTGAATCCTTTCGTAACTAGTCGAGCCTTGTAGCGTTCAACTGAACCATCTGCTTTGTATTTGATTTTATATACCCATTTGCAGCCAATTGATTTCCTATGTGAAGGCAATGGAACTATGTCCCAAGTATGATTTTTAATAAGGGCATCTAGTTCGACCTTCATAGCCTGTTGCCAGCGTAGGTCACGTGCCGCTTCTTCATAAGAAGTTGGTTCCTGTTCTTCAGAGATGCGACTAATACAGCACATGTGCTCTGCTGACAGTCGACTAAAAGAGACGTATGAAGAAATAGGATAATGTGTACCTTGATACTCCAATGTGGGGCATATATAGTCTTTAGTCCATGTAGGTGGACGAACAGGACGTCTCGAGCGTCGGGGTTGCTCGGCAATTGAATGTTGTAGGGGTGATAAAGAAGATTCAATATGTGGCTGTGCAAGCGGAGCAGATGAAGTGTCCTCCTCATGTAAAGCTACTGGGGAATCGACTGCTTGGTTTGATGATTCAGGAATTGTTGACATCTGAATCGGTGGAACGAAGATGTATTGTGGGGTTGCAGATAAATCTTCTTCTGATAAGAACTGACGATGATTTGGCTCCGATATAAATGTATGAGATGAAGATGTCAAATCCTCGAACGGAAATATATCTTCATGGAAAACAACATCTCGGCTAACAAAGAAGGGACCTGTAGATATCTCTATAACCCTGAATCCTTTCTGTAGATGAGGATATCCCATGAAAACACATCGGAGGGCACGAGGATCCATTTTGTCCTGAGGGCCCTGTCACATCCCGATTTTTAGGCCTGGAAAGCCGCAGGTAAATTGTAACATTCTCAATTTCAGTCCATGGGAAATGGCTATGGTTTAAGTTTGGTGGTTTTCCAATTGGAACCAAGTTTTTACTCTCGTTTTGGAAAACCCAGTTTCAGATCCTTTGTACCCCTTCGTTTTTTATTTTTTGGGAGACCTTTGTGATCCGAATTTCCAAATACTTTATTCTTGAAAGTTGTTCCAAACATCATGAAGTTTTACATACTTTAATTTCATAATTTTTGGACTTGATATGAGTGGTACGATGGCCTGATTTTCGGACCATGTGAAACTGCCCAGAATGGGTATTTCGGTGATGTTCACACCGTCTTTATTTTCTACAAGCTTTTCTGGGCCGATTTTGGAAAAGTTTCCTTCACAAAAGTTGTTTAAAACTTCCTTTTCTATAACGTATATAAATTTGGGAATTTTCCGAGATGATTTGGATTATGGACAGAGCTCAATTTGAGAAACAAGAATTCTGTTCCAGCGAACTGTTTTTAGTCTGTTTTTGAGCTACTAAAAATGGTGTTTACAGAGAGATTCAGATTTCATGTTCTTCATGAATTTTTTTTGTTAAGGTCTTGTTTATGACATATTCAAATTTGAGAATTTTCGGAGTCCATTTACTATGTTTTCAAGCCCGATTTAATGAACAGTACAAAGCTGTCCGGTTTTGTCAGATTTCAAAGATTTATAAATTCCTATACGAGAACGTTGGAATCTCGAATTGATGTCTTTTGGTGATATTTGAGAACATATCCGCGTCGAATCTCGGGTTAAATGCGATTATTATGCGTGTTTATCGCGGAAAACCCTCAGAAAATCTTGTGATTAAGTATGGCGTGGGTTGTGGTTTTTGTGCCAATTGGTCTATTTCGTGTGACCCGATTGGCCCGAGTCATTTGCGTGAGAATTCAGTAAATCCAGAAGACTCTAGGGAGTCCACGGTCTGGAAATTGTTAGAAGAATCTAGAGGATAAGGCCTTGACCGAGTCAAAGCTTATCCTCCAAGCTTCATTATGGCTTTCATTTATTAAAGTTGAACTTTGGCGGCCCTTCATGATGGCTTGCATTAATGAATCAAGACTTTAGGGCCTCTCCATGATGACATGCATTAATGGTCTTGAGTAGTGACCAAGAAAAGTCTTCTATTAATAGGGAGAAAGGGAGAGAGAGAGGGAGAGCCTCATGTGAAGCCCCCCCCCCCTTCTCCTCTCTCACGCCAATCTCACCATCTTCTTCCTCTCCCTTTTTGTTTCTTATTTTCTCACTTTTGGCCGAGAAGCTCACGCCCAAACCAACCCCGAACTGGCCCGTGTTCCTACTCGTTCCCATCCAAGAGCCACGGTTTGGCCTTGGTAGGCATAGTCTTGGTCGGCCAAACAAGGAGAAAGCAAGGAGGAAGCCCGAAAATCACACCCGAGTCTCGCCCGAGGCCCCGTCTCTCCCGAAATCAAGCTTGTTCCGTGCTCAAGCCAAGCCACCAGCTACTTCTTCTTCTAGTCTTTCGTGTCCTAGTGGTTTGTTGTGTAAGTGAATTCCCTAATCTCGGGAAAGGATGATAAGATGCGTTGTGACGTGGTTTACTTGGACCGTGTTCGGTCTTGATTGGTTATCTCTTTGGCTTGTTTATGTCTTATGTTTGACGTTCATATCTCGAGATAGAAGCCGGAATTTGGCTAGTGATGTTCACATGATATAGCCATCCTTGGACATCTCTAGTATTTGTCGGCATGAACTTTGCTATTGATTTGCCATCGACGCCGGTGCAGTAAGGGCCGACTCATGTTAATGGCGATCGATTTATCCTCGCTTGACATTAGTGTTTTCACTTGCTGAGTCTCCCCGACTCATCCCCCGTTGTTTTTCCCTCTCAGGTCCATAGGATGGTCGAACGGACGGCGGTGACAGGGGGAGTTCGAGCCATGTTGGAGTTCGGGGAAAGCTAAGAGCTGTGAATCCGAAGTAGTGGGCTTAGGACACCCAAGCCATAACGTTTGTTGTGTGTAAATGGCTAAAATCGGCTAAGTTGGTTTGTAAAATATGTTTGCTTGTCCTGTAAACATAAGGTTTGTTCATAATGCTGTTTGTCTTAATCCCGCTGTTTGTTCTGAATGTGATTGTCCTGAATTATACTTCCGCTTGTGTATAAAGAAAGATAACAATGAACGGGACGTCACGTTAATGACCCCGAGTTGGGGGCGTTACAGTCCCACAGTCGTTGCATAACATAAACAGCCAAATACTCTTAGATGTCCAATCTCTGGTTGTTTCCCAAAGAGCATCTCAAAAGGAGTTTGTCCTTCAAGAATTCGAGTTGGCATGCGATTGATCAAATAGGCCCTTGTAACCACACAATCTCCCCAAAAGGTTTCAGGAATTGAGGCTTGGTATTTAAGTGCTCGAGCTACTTCTAAGAGATGGCGATGTTTAAGTTCTACAATCCCATTTTGTTGGGGAGTGTATGTGCAAGAGCTTTCGTGAAGTATCCCATGAGAAGCAAGAAAAGATTTGCACTCTGTAGTGAAAAATTCACGCCCATTGTCTGTGTGAATTCTTTGAATGGATTTATGGAATTGATTCTTGATCAAGGAAAAGAAATTCGACAGATTGGAAAAGGTTTGGCTCTTGGATTGCATGAGGAACACCCAAGTAGCGCGAGTATAATCATCGACAATTGTTAGAAAATACCGAGACCCATCATGATGTGGAGTGTGATAGGGACCCCAGATGTCTACATGAATTAGAGAAAAAATACTAGTAGCTCGAGATGTGCCTTTTGGAAACGGTGCTCGTGATTGCTTTGCCAAAGGGCAGATTCTACAGTTCGGATAAGGAAAATGAGCACTATGACCCAAACGTTGATGAGAAAGAAAATTTTTATTGCTAGTGGTAGCATTACATGAAATGCCTTTTGATAAATCAAAATCCTTTGGAAAGCTTATCCAAAAATATAGTCCTTGCGCAACACTACCCAAGCCCATCAGTTTGCCAGTCGAATGGTCCTGAAAGAAGCAATTTTCTAAATTGAATATGACGCGACAAGAATTGTCTTCACAAATCTTGGAAACAGATATGAGATTGAATTCAAATTTAGGAATGTAGAGGACATTTTTTAGGATAATGTTTGGACTAAGATGGACAGTTCCAATTTTGGTAACATGAGTGATGGTACCATTGGGAAGACGAACAGTCACAGAAGAATGAATTTTCCTGTGAACATCAGAAAAAATGTGTTCATCACAGATTATATGGTCACTAGCGCCTGAATCAATTATCCATGCATCAACTGAAACAGCATTGTTATTGCAGAAAGAAATACCTGAAAAACTTGCACTTTTGTCGGTATTCTTTAATTGATTCAGAGTCCTCATAATATGTTGATACTGATCATGAGTAATGGTCTGATTTGCCCTTTCAGTCCCTTGTGCCAAAACTTGGTAAGCCGAAAAATCTTTCTTCTTTTTTTCTTTTTCATTTGGTTTTCCATGCAATTTCCAGCACGTATCAATAGTGTGATGTGGGCGCTTGCAATATTCACAGTATTTACCTTTATTTTTGGAATTTGGCCCACTTCCTCTTTGTGATGATGTGGCACTCCGTGGGCCATGAGATGGCTTGAAAGCAGGGGCTGACGTGGCCTGATAATAGCCATTCGATTCGCTCAAGTGACTGATCAAATGATGGCCGTTGGATCCAACCTTTTGATCTTGACCATCCGTTCGAAAAGAACTTCTAGGGTTCTCCTCTTCTTTTCTGCTCCACGCCGCTTGATGAAGCCCTAGAGGTGGAACACTCCCATGGCTTCCGACGATGCTTGCAACGCTCCGATATGGTGGTTCCGATGGAGCTGTGAGAGTGATGCTCTCAACTCGTCCGTGCTTGGCTGTGGCCAGTCGCTGGCTCTCCTCTTGGACGGCCAGTTGATAGATCCGGCTGAGCGGTGGCATTGGCTCCGTCGCCAATATCTGCGACCTAAAATGTGAGTATGTTTCATTCAGAATGAGTAAGAATCGTGTTACTTTCTCCATGTCCTTCATTGCTCGATATTGTCGGAGTGTAGCCTCGGGTCCCTCCAACTGTTCCTCGGCCGCCTCGAGCTCGTTCCACAGAGCCGAGAGTCGATTGAAGCAAGCAGTGACCCAAAGGTTCCCTTGCTTCAATTCCGACAAGGCTTGAGTGATTGTAAATAGCTTCGCTCGGTCAAGGCGCCCATACATTTCACGGATGTTCTCCCACATTACCTTCGAATCCTCGGTTGGTGGGAGTCTGGCCGCGACGTCGGAAGCGAGGCAATTTCCGATCCAAGTGCGAACCAACTGATTGCACTTCCGCCAATGCCGTTGGAGTCGTTCTTCGGTTGGAAAAGTGACGGCTCCGTCGAGGAAGCCGTCCTTGTCTTTTGTAACAAGAGCTCGTCGGAAGTCCCGAGCCCAAGCGTTGTAGTTGTCCGATCCAGTGAGCTGTAGGTTGATGAGCTGTAGCTCTGGTCCGTCGGCCGGTGACGTATAGAAGGGTGTTGCCGGGCTCGGGGCGGCCGCTGCTGACAGAGAACGAGTAGGGAAGAAATCCGGGTTGGAAAGCCGGGTAGGGATTCGTCCCTAAACCCGGTGTAAAGGATTCGGGTCCGTGATTCGGGGCTGTCCAACCCGGTCCTCCATTCGAATTGGTCTCCTGCAGAAGAGAGTTCCACGGTCTGGAATGCCATCCTCTCCAAGTGGACCATGTTGTGCCCTTGTCTGACTTGGCCCGATGGCCCATTGTCCTTGAATAGGATACCAATCAATTGGAGGCCACTAGGTTGGACTAGGAATCTGAACTAGAACAGGAGCAGATTGAACAGGAGCAGGAGCAGATCCGGCAGAGTGCTGCGCAGAAGACCGTTCCTCTTCATTCGGATCAACTAGATCTGAATCTTGATGTTGAGTCGAGTTAGGGGTTTCCTCCATTGAAGAATTGTCGGTATTCAGTATGATATCAAAAAAAAATTTGAATTCCTACTCGGGTGCTGATTTGTTTTGCAGAATTGGGATCGCAACAAGAAGTCAGAAACCAACCGGAGGCAATTCTAAGGTAGCGGAAGTTAGACCAGGAAGGACTGCTCTGATACCATGACAGAAATTGAAGAGGAGGAATATGAAATTTGTATTTCTCAATATGTATTTGTACATGTACATGGCTATATTTATAGTACAATAAGCAATCAGGAAATAAACAAACATGATATCATTTTCCTATTTAATCTTCTGAATATTCCATCAATATTCCTTAATGCCGATTGTGCCGATTGTCTAAATCAATTAGTGGAGTCAAAGGATCAAATCAAATCCTTTCTCCAACACCAACTTACTTAGGTGACACAGCAATGAGCGGAGGAACAGCCACGAGGAGGTCCGAGAGCAGCAAGAAACAACGTCTATTCGTGGAGCCCTCGATCGTGATTGTGGAGGCACACGCTCGAGGAAGAAGATAAATCTTCTTTCTTCTCTCTTGCCTCTTCTTTCTGTGTTTCTCGTGTGTGGTCAGACCAAAATAAAAGCTCTCTCGTTCTTGTCTATACGTGACCCTTTTATAGGTAGGGAAGACCTGGGCTTTCAAGGAAAGAGAGTAAATCTACTTTCCTCTTATGAGGGTTTTAGAATATATTATATTCTAGCTCCTTCCCATTATTGTGGTCTTTTCTTTCTGTTCACGCCAGTGGATGCATGAAGACCACCTTGATATTGATAAGAATATATGCCCCTATATTGACCAAATTCCACTTTCCTCTTTTGTATCCTTTATTTTGTTTCCCCTTTGCATGTAGACACAAAAGAAACCAAATCTATTGATTCTCCTCCCTTTTCCTTTTATTTCTTTCCTTCCCCTTAACCAAGAGGATCGCCGCCTCAAGTATTCGAAAGATCATGCCCATTTCGAAATATTATGCTAATTGACCAAAATTTTGGTAACATTAATTTCTAAGTTGAGCACAATATATTTTTCGCCCATGGGCTTGATTCAATTAATTTCATTTAAGCTTAGAACCATTCGCTCGAGTCCATCTGCCGTCTGTTCGATAAATGTGCAAACTATACGGGCCTAATTAACTATTAATGAAATGCTCATAATATCTATATGCAATTTAACTAATATTTTTTGTTTAGGGCTTGGGGTCGGTCCCTAATTTTCATATGCAATAAACGACTAACTGGGTTGTCAAAATTTAGCTGTCAACAATCATAAAATTCAAATTTCTCACCCTAAATTTGATTTTCATATATAAAATAAATTTAGAACGATAGGATAAATCATTCAAATTTGGATTTCATTAAGTAATAATCTCAAAAAAAATCAAAGAGAACATATAAAATAAAAAAATATACATTAATTGGTTGATTTGGAAATATAATAGATCCAAAGTACAATTTGAAGCTTAAAAGATAAGTGGACACACAAAAGATAATTCTATAAAAATCTGATATTTGTTTGGGAGAAAAGAAAAGTTGAATATTTTTGGAAAAAAAAACGAAAAAAGGAAGAAAACACTAGTGCTGCCAGGGAGGGCGTCAAGCTTCCAAATGGAGAGCCAAGCCTATTGATCCGACGGCACAGCTGGTCCATCACCGCGAGCCTCAAAGGTGAGATCAATATCCCGACGGCCATGGACGAGCGGGCGATAGCCGCGATCTCAGAAAACAAAAAAAATGAAAGCAGAGGCACGGTGGTTGGGCTCAGCCGAGACGCATGGGAAAATGGAGCATACTATACAAGGACGACGGCAGACGGCGGAACTTGAATGAACGTGACGAGTGTTTTAAAGACCAAGCCATTTGTGCATATATTCGAACAATGGATTGACGTCTAAATCTGGCATAAAGGGCTGTGAAAGGATTCTTCTTCTAGCAGTACAAACACCAAATCGAGCTGCACAAACATGCTTTTCATGAGGAATGAAGGGGAGAGTTATTTTCTTTACCCACGACACATGTGAGTGAGCACCTAGGATGTCGTGACTCGAGTGTGCCATAAATTGGACCGGTCCGGGCTAAGTCGTCCTTGGCCGGTCTAGACAAGCGATTTCATAAGATGCGAGCTTCTACATGTTCAAAACTAAAGATTTGATTTCCAAGCGGTGAAACGGATGAAATGACCCACTCATCCCACTCATCCATTCAACTGGGACAGCATGTCGCATGTATCGTTGTGATGTTTCGTTAAACTCCAACGCAGGTATTTTAAAAGCTTAAACTATTTAGCCCAAAGCATAATTTAGTTTGAATACTTTAATACTCCCCTTTGTGAGTAGGCTGGAGGACTTTGCTCGAGTCTAAAATATGAGAATATATAACACGGGAGGTCTGAAAAGGTTTTAACTGAGAATCTCCAGTTTTGATACCGTGTGAAATGTTGCGGAACTACGTCCAACTATTCTAATAACAAGAGCTATTGAAGGAAGAGACAGTTGAATGTAAATACTTTAGCAATCATCGTTAACGTAATGCAATATGGTCCTTAGCAAGACCTTAAAAGGCTACGTCTGAACTCTAGGACGTAAAACATAGAGGTATTCCCTGGGGTGAGGGAAGAAAAATTATCCCCCAAATTGGGGAACAGAGCGTGCGGGCACTGGCACGTTAAAATAAGGAACTCAGACCTGTCAGTCCATCAGGGTTTCCTGGACAGGCGGGGCGGCCCCTGTTAGATGCGTGCATCCCTTTGTTTGGTGAGAGAAACTTGAAAACCTTACCAATGATCCAAACAAAGCCCCGGGTTTTTTTCAACTGGAAATCTACTATAGAATGAGCCAATTCCACCAAGGCAAATGTGTATATGTTTCTGAAAAGTCAATCTTTACCACCACCATCCAGAGGCGGACCAGCAGGGGTTCCGCTCCCCATTGTCCTCTTTTGAGTCATCCGGAATGATCGTCTCCACTCCAAGAAAATAAACGTAAAAGAGGATAAACCAGGAGATCAGAGGACGGATGGGACGAAGGTGGCTCCAAAAGAAGGGAATTAATGATAATTGCATAACCCACGGAAATAATAAAGCACCTGTGATGATGAGGACGAACATGGATCCCAAAATTAATATCGTGGTGGCAAGCCAAGGGAGTTTGGCCACGGTCAAGGTGACACCAATTAAGAAAGCGACGGACATTGCCGGGAGGGCTATTCATAGTGGCACTATTGCAAGCTGGCTTGCTACGTGGACTTCGCTCACGTACGCCCACGCGTAGCTAACGAGCGAGGTCATTGAGCAGAACATCGCGATGGTGTTGCAAATCACGAAGGCCTGAAACATTCTATTGTCCAGCATCGTAGGCATGCCATGGTCATCTTTAGATGCCATGTTTGAACCGTCAAATCCTCCAGGAACTACGAAACCAGCTGCGAAAGTCACAGTGGTCACAATCGTCGCCACCAGCAACAAGGTACTGATACCGTCCTTCAGTCCGCCAAGGTTTGGCAAATCTCTGTTCGTGTACGCTTCATCTCGAGCTTCCGGCTTAAGTATGATTGCATCTAATCTCTTGGCTGACGCACCTGATAACAGCGCATGTGCCAAGGCCTGAGATCAGAAACATATGAAAAGGAAAGAAAGAACAAATTGTTAGTGAATCGATAACTCGAACAAATTCTAGAGTACTCATTTAAAGGGAAACTTTTACTTCGAAAGATGCAGTGTCTACTCAGTTTGAAGAATTAAGACTAGAGTAACAAGTTCACTGCAAATGAGAAAATAGGCACGAATGAAATGTAATATGGTTCACCTTTGTCATAGGTTGAGTTACTGATAATGTAATGACACTATGCCGTGTTTAGAGGGGTCAAATTTGCCGCCTTGACCCCTGGCTCTTTAAGAAAAAAAGATTGCAACATTGACAACCCCTGATCTTATAACAATTTATCTCAGCATTCGTCAGAGATATTCACTTTTTCCTAACCGCGGACATATTCATGGGCAAAATTCAAGTACCTCTTATTAAGGCCAAATTAGAGACTTGTGCAATATTAATCCTAGAGGAGTCTCGGCTATTCTAGAAAATTGATTAATACTTTGCGAGACATAATTATTTGAATACGAGCTGTGCACTTAACTAAGGTATTAGTCCATGGAAATTTCCAGTAAGTTAATAAATAAAATAGTGACTGTTCATGTTACCTACCTTCTGTAACGTAGGCCCCCTTTGTAAGTGATATGGAGCTATGTCAAGAGCCGCCGAGCGTTTGTGGTTGAGAATGGAGGGGTTAATTCTTTCATCCTGCACAGGATGAATCAAAACGGTGGGATGTGAATACATCGCTGCCAAGTGTGAATGTGTATTTCCATCATGATCTCTTTCATTTATCATCTCCCCCAGATCTGGATGTCTGAGTATATATTTCACTGCTTTATCTCTCCCGTATTTTGCTGCCACATGAAGAACGGTTTCTCCTCGCCCATTTACCGACTGTGATACCGTATGTAGCTTCTCGATTAGTGCAACATGACCCATCTTGCTCGCAATATGAATGGAAAGATCCCCATTGCGGTCCCGTTCTCGGGCCAAATATTTAGTTTCTGGTCGCAAGAGTTCGAATACTCAGGGCTCATTCCGGAAAGCTGATAAACGGAATACATTACCGCCTTTGGAGTCGGTCATTGCAAATAGCTTCATGTTCTTTTTGAGTATCTCGCCGAGTAAATCTGGAACCAAGAGCTCCAAATTAGGGACCACATCCGCATAAACATTTGACACTGGTTGGGGCTTGGTTGGCTTTGATGTATTTTAACCCATTTTGGGTTAAGGACATCTTCGACGTCACCTTAATCACTATTAGGATTCATAGTCGCTGATGTGGGATTAGATTGCAATGGTGAAACTAGTGGTGATAATTTCGATTGAATAAATCAAATGCACCCAGTTTCGGTTCAAAAAATTGTAGCTCTTCGAGCTGTGAATCTCAAAGCATTATGATTTTCCTTCTCTAGCATGATGGAACACAACCTGTGAGACTTTAGATAATTTCGAAAGGATCCCGATTACGTATTTTGGGGAGACTTTAGACAAATTTCAGACCATTTTCGTCCAAAGCAATGCGACATCGATAATTACTAAGATTTTACTTTAAAAATCTTACTAAATGACAAGGAAAATTATATGGCATTTCCATGTTATGAAGTATCTATAGAGTCCGCAAATGTAAGGTATAGGAAAAAAAGGAAAAGACATTTAAATAGCTAGGGTAAGATCAAGAAAAGGAGAATTATCTTTTC